GACAACATTGCGCAACATCCGTACTCTCATCCAACTGTATTGCAAAAAAAACTTGATTCTCTCACGGCTTCCACTACCTGATTTTTTATATCTTCAGCCATATCATCAATGCGACGTTTCACACTGTTATCAGAAAGAGGTATTTGTGAAAATTTTTGTTTACTTTCTGGTCCAAGAACGATATCAGCTGTTTTCAATAAGCAGGGTTTGAGGAGAGTTTCACCGATAGTATGGCTTTTTTTGGCTTTTGCAATAATTAGTGACAATTCATATGAAGCTTCGAGCACTTTCTTAGATGACTGAGCGAAGGATCCAGTACTATCCAATTTCATGCGCTTCAAACTTGCAGATTTTGAAGCAAAGAACTCCTTCGGCTTGTCTTTTAAAGCACTGTGTTTTGTTGACAAATGTCGTTCCAGACGGGATGGTCTCATGGCATCATTGCTCAATACTTCATAACAAATGACACACTGCGGCTGGTCGAACCCCTTTAATTTATAGAAACAAAACCGTATTTAATATAATTATCATTATATTTGCGTTTTTTCGCCGAGCTCATGGCGAAACAACAGAAATAACCGTTCATTGTCACTACTCTAATACACAATAATAGCAGGTCGCTTGTTTGTTTTTACAACAAAAGTTCACGTGTTCGCTTGGCGCGTGCGACGCGGGGAGTGAGGTGCGTGCATTGTATAAATCTACAAGTAACAAATCCTAAGATTTTCTTAATACCTGTAAATATCCACTTAGTACTGGTTGCCTCGAAAATTCTACTACTAAAATCACACTTGGTATGGGTTGCCAGCAATATTCTACTACTAAGTCACACTTTAATACGGGTTGCCAACCAATATTCTACTACTAAAACGTCAAATGACAGAAATCTGCTATAGTGTTGCCGTGTCATATTTAAAATTTATAACTTTAAATATTTTCATTCCATATTCAACATTTTCAGTTGTTTCATTCCTAAAGATTAAATTTGCATAGTATTATTTAAATTAGTATTTGTGTATTAAGTATTATTAAATATTTCAATTTTATCTTGCTGCTCATGTTCATGTTTTTGTGGTAATTCTTTGTCTGTTGAATATTTAAAATCTTAGTTACCGGTTTAGTCTGAGGAATGAACACCCAAGCTCAGTAACGCGTCTATATTGCAACCTCAGAATTGGTGAGGAAAACAATAAATATATAATAATCTTTGTTTCTAGAAAATATTCTTAGTTTTCATTATTATTTGCATTACAAATACATGTTCATAAACAAATTATTAAACTACATCCTTTATTTAAAACTCTAATAAAAATAGGCATATTCGATAAGGTGATCACGGCTGTTTCACACACATAGGAAAACAGCTGATTTTAAATCTGCCTTGACTTATACAATGGGTGCGTGCCGTAGGTATGCGCGGGCGACAGGTGATAACCGCCGCCGCCCGCCCGCCCTGTACATGTCTTCGCTCACTCCTAATTGACGCCCTATTTGAAAATCAATGTTCTAGATTATCTAGAATCATAATAATACAATTCAAATCTTGATTACTATTATTATTAATTTTGAGTGAAAATTGTGTTATATGTTCTAAGTTGATGCCTCTTTGGATTCAGGACTTTACCAAAGTGAAGGTCGGAATCTGAGCATTGTAGATAGTCTGTTGATTTCACAATGTTTGCGTATTTGAATTTGAGGTATGCACATGCGCTGATATCCGTGGACATGATCCAGTGGGGTTGGCTTTATTAAAATGTTTATTAATAAACACAGATTTATACATGATTTCATGGTGATGATTGCATTCTATAGTATCATGCTTTCCAGCACAAATTAGACAAACTGATTTATTATTACATTTTGTGGCTGTGATTAGTCCGGCCACATTTAAAAACTACTCAAGTCATCAAACACGACAGCTCTTATGAACACCGTGCTTTAGTGCATCTTTAAGTCAATATTGAAAACACTTCAAGAATTAAGCTACGCTTTTTCTATTAGTAAAGTCAGCTATATATTTAAAGTCACCATCGAAATAGGCGCTGTTCTGTTACCAAATATCATCAATTAGTTCTTCTTTATTGTCACGTTTCTATATTAAATTTTGATTTTGGGACCATTCATTTCTCCTCTATGCCAGCTCAAAATTTTCACCTATTCCCTTTCAGTCAGTAGGTCTTTGGTTCTTGAGACATCTTGTCTTGTTACATAACTATCACTGCACTCGTTTTGTTGCCATTACATTTTATTTGAGCACTGAATTAATAAATATTTTTAACTAGTTGAGCATAGTTTTATCCTTTTCTTTATTCTTGGTCTGATATATAATAATATAAATATTATATCTATACTTACTTTATTATTCATATAAACATAATTGCATAAGTACCTGCAAATTTCTTTTGCGCTCTCTTCGTATTGCGAATATCTATACGCATTATATATGTAAAATGATCATAAGCAAATCTGCCTGTCCTTTTATACCTACGCTGGGTAATATTAAAAGTTTAAACATTCACTAAAAAGTTATTTTCATATTCCGAATATACTTGTACAATATAAACATTGCAGTAAGTGAAATTAAATTTCCTTAATTTTATTTTATTAAAACCAATAAAAATCGCTCTAAAGATTAATCAATAAATGAAAATTTTCCAACTATAACTAAGTACTACAAGTCGACATTACTAAATATTCAGCAATACCCCTTGTTCTTTGGCAAAAAGCAGTATTACGTACAAAAAGCGTATTGATTTCTTCAATAAGCTCAAATGACTAAGAACATAAACACATACTATATACATACATACGCACAAACAAATGCGTGTAGTAAATGTACCCATAAACGATATAGGCTGATTCAAAAATAATTAAATTTTTCAAATCTACAATAATTCTCACCTCAGCATGGTTCGTAAAGGAATTCACTTATAACAAACTCTTAGATTTAAACCATGCCTATCATTGGGTTTAGGAGACATAAGCATACGGATGTTATAACACAGACTTTATAAAGCTTTCGATAAAGTAAATATCTCGATTCTCATACATAAACTTAGGCTGCTGGGCTTTCAGCCAAGATTCCTTCAATGGGTATCTTCCTATCTTTATAATAGAACACAACGAGTGATATTTGAGGATACACTTCAGATCAATTAGCGTTTCTTCTGGTGTTCGTAAGGTAGTCATCTGGCCCGATTCTGTTGTTGTTGCTTATTAACGATATCTCTTCAGTAATAGATTCCAAAATTTTTATTATACGCTGACGTGTAAAGCTTTTAAATCATACACTTCAACTGAGAAGGTGTCTGTTGCAAACAGACTTAAACAATTGGTTTCATGGTGTGATAGAAATGATTTGCCATTGAATCTCTCAATAATTGTAAGACGATGTGCTTTCATAGATCTGTCCCTCCTTCTTGTATAAAACACCATATTCTAAGCAAGTTTTAACTATGTTGATTTGGGAGTTAATATGGACCCTAAACTAATTTCAATCTTCATATGTGATACCACTGGTCTTGAAAGCAAAAGCTGTCCTCAGTTTGTTAAACGTGTCTAAAAATTTAGAGATCCGTATATTACTAAAGCACTTTATACAACTTTGGTTGAACCTATGATTGGAATATGGCTCTGTGGTATGGAACCTAGCTACAATCCATTCTGACAAGTGTAGTCGTTCAAAACATTTTACTTTTCGCCTAGCGCATTTCCGATGGGATGCTAGGGTAAGTCTACCTCCATACGCTAGTCGTTTAAAACTTATTAATCTACACTTTCTAGTCGTAGGAGATGCTAGCATAATATTCTTGAGTGAACTTTTGAATGGATGTTTGCAGTTCTTTTCTCCTGTCGAATTAAATTTAATATCCCGGTTCGCCTTTCGAGGCAGTTAAGACCTATACTGCTAAAATCCTGTAGATCACATTTTGAACTAAACGAGGCATTCCGCCGTATATGTCATGATTTTAATTCTCATTCCAGCACATTTGACTTATCTGACTCACTTTTCAAAATTAAAAAGACTTTATTGTTTTCTCTTAATAAATGAAAATGTAACAATTTATTATATTGTAGCTTTAGATCTTAGCTGTTGAAATTTTTGTTTCTGTAGCTGAGCAGTTTTAGATCTCAACACTTGAAAAACTCTCTTGCCTTTTCTGACTCGGCTAATTCCGCACGTATGCGGATTACGCCCCTCGCGTCGGTTGGGCGGGAGGAGGGTAATCGTTGGGTTATTATTATTATTAAAACTTTCGGAGAGATGTAAAAAGACGCCTGTGAAAATCGGAGCCCTTAATATTAATATTAAGAGGTCGCGCATCGCAGATTTTTATTTCCCATTTAAATAACACGGAAAACATTTTTCTTTAATTTTGGAATTTTGCAACTCTGAACCAGTTTACCGGATTGTTGAACTAAATTATATTCTTATAGGAAATTTGACACTCTACAAAAAAGTATTTTGATTATCTTAACCATTTAGGAGAGATTCGAGGTCAAACTCAAACCACATCTTTTATTTACAATTTTTTTTTTAAATTTGCTAAAGACTTTTTTGTAGAGCGTTAAATTTTCTATAAGAAGAAGTTGACTTAGGGAATTTCAGTTTGTATAGCAGCCATATGTTATAGTGATCCGATCTAAACAATCTCTTTAGAGATTTTATTATTGTCTTAAGTAATAATCCATGCCAATTTCGGGAATATATGTGCTATAGTGATCCGATCTAAACAATTTCTTCGGAGATTACATTGTTGCCTTAGGAAATACTTCATACCAAATTTCGTAAAGATTTTAGGTCAAATAAAAAAGTTTATAATACAGGCACTTGATTCCGATTATTCAGTTCGTATGGCAAGTATATGCTATAATGGTCCGATATCTGACTGTACCGACAAATGAGCAGCTTCTTAGTGAGGAAAGGATAGGTGCAAAATCGATCTATAGCTTAAAAGCTGAGGGACTAGTTCGTATATATACAGACAGACAGACGGTCATGACTAAACCAACTCAGCTTATCATGCTGATCATTTATGTACTTGTATACATTTTATAGGGTCTCCGAAGTTTCCTTCTTGGTGTTACAAACTTCGTGGCAAACTTAACGTACCCTGTTCAGGGTATAAAAATATCGATAGTCGAAAAGAAAAATTAAATTCACATTTTCCTTCAAACACACAACTGAAATTCAAAGATAATATTTCACTAAAAATAATGTGTAAAATTAGGTTCATATTTACTCTAGCTCCCATATACCTTATATGAATATGAATATTTTTGAAACATCCGTACTTTGTACCATTTGTGAGGAATCTTAATGAAAATCAGAGAGCGTCTTTTTCAGTTAATAATGTATCGTGAATGTTTAAAATAAATAACATCGGTTCTATTATGTAAGAACTTAAAATTTCCCGTTAAGTTTATACCTTTC